TTAACTGTTACATGATCACTAACTATGGCTATCGTTCTTTATGTTGGTTTCGATTTTCGATAAAGTTGACTTGGATGAAATATAATAGTTTTCAATTGGATAACTTATTCGATTGGATTTAATGGTTGAGCTCTGTAAAAGAAGGCAACAGGTCGATTGGACTTCAAACGAGAGGGACGGGCGTTCAACAGTGCTGAGTACAACAGTAACGAAACTGAAAATATTTTCAACAGTTCCAAAAATTTGAGGATATTTGAAAAGTTTGAGTTCTGTTTGCAAATTGATGGCAGTTTTGCATGAATGCTCTGCTCTTTTGTTCTGAAGCGAAACCGAGAAAAAATGACAATTCGCCGAGTTAATTGTTTGTTCAGAAAAATTTATAACGCCGCGCTTGGAGAAATTTTGTTTGTTAACAAGCGGCATCAATTAAAATGGCCATTTTTGGCTTTAAACTTCCGGTCGATTTGAATTAATGTATTTTTCAGTGACTTAACGGATAGAAAAAAACAGTATTCAAAATAATTTCCGGCACTGTTAAACAGAATTTTACTTTTCGCAACTGTTGTATTGCCTCGTTTAAACGCATTGTCGAAAGAGCGGGAAATTATTGACGCTACTTAAACGAAGAAAATCACTCGGTGCAATCCCTCAAATGCGAAGGACCAAATGCCGAATTGGAACAAGTTTTTTATTTCAAGGGTTTCGTTATAAAAGATGTAAATTATCGCTTAATTTATTTCATTTTGATTGAATGACAATTGATTTTTTTTAAAATCGATTTTTGGCTTATTTTGTTTTCTGTCTTTCGCTCACAAGTTTTCGCCCATCTTTTTTGTTTCGCGCATGAGAATAGCTCCAAAATCACTCCAGTTTTGGCGCCAAATTGTCTGGACTTGCAAATTAAACTTTTAATTTGACGCCAAAACGTCTAAATTCCAAGTTTTCTTGCTCAAAATTTTAAAGTGTCACATGAGACTGCAAACATTCGGCATTTAATTTATGATTGCCGCACTTAATATGTTCAATTTGTTCAAATTTTCGGCAATGTTGAACTATTTTTTTTATCGATGATATTGTACTGCCTCGGAGGGACTTCAAATAGAACTTTGAGCTTTTTCAGGTAATTCCAACACACATCGGCTTGATTTCATTTCATTTAGGGTACTTTTTTATGTGCCAAACTGCCGGAACCAGAATTTTTTGAAAGAAGTACATAAATTCAGATGTTGAAGAGGAAATCCACCAGTTACGCTGAAACAGTCACAGCCGACGTCGTGTACAAATAGATATCCAGTGAAGCATTGGTTTTCACATTCAATTCTAGATCTGAAATAGACTATGATATCTAAAAGTAACGCTTGGATGCATTTGGCATAGACTACTTGAGGTTTTTTCAGGTCTAAAATTTCTGTTTTTTAGATCGAAAAAAAAATTCGAAGAATTTTTTTCCAATACGAGGCCAAACTGTGCTCTGGATAGGCGCTCAATTTTGTGTCTGTATGTTCCCGGATTCCAGAGACAATTCTTTAAACAAGTTAAATTTTTGTCGGAACGATCAAAGAAATTGAAAGAACAAAAAAAGAACAAAAGGAGCGTCCTTGTTGCGGAATCCGCTTACATTTCGCAAAAAGCACAGTTTGGCCTCGCAATGTTTGTTTTTTTTTGTTAATCCTGATACAGATTTGGCAAAAAAAAATCAGACAAAACCTCTCATTTTATAAATTTATGATTTTTTTCGTTAATTTTTCATAATTTTTGGTAGTTTTTTAAACAATCTAACTTGAGCGGGACAATCAAAAATCAATGCAGAGTACTTTTCTTGATCTTAAAAAGCCTTCGACACGGTCAATCAGGTACAACTCCTGGAAAACTGTTGCTCTTATGGATTGAGTGGTTTCATCTTTTTACGTCCTACAACAGGACACAATTTACGTATCTTAGTTAATAATAAAACAATGAATTTCAAAAAAGAAAGTATACAGTTTTTTCGAAGCGAGAATGAATCACGTATCTTAGTTAATAACAAAACAATGAATTTCAAAAAAGAAAGTATTCAGTTTTTTCGAAGCGAGAATGAATCAAGTGACATTGGAAACGGAAATTAATTTAGGTACTTAGGAATAGCAGTAGACAATGATTTGATTTTTTTACTTTAAATGAATTTATTTTGACAAAATGTTTCTATTCTCAGGAAAAAATGGATTACTTTTTCCGATTGATTGCTATTGAATAAGAAAAGTTTTAAGCAAGAAACAGCTGAGACATGTTGTGCAAATTGCTATTCATTATGGAGTTTTAATGTATGGTATTTGAAACAAAAGTATATGAAACAACTGGATAATGATCTCAGTAAACTATGCATAATAGTTTTTTAAACGTAATTTAGACTCAAAAAGATCAGCACAGGAAGCTCACAAATTGTATCCATCTACTGAACTTCATGTTTATGAAGTTTTTAAAACAATAGAAAAAAATTCTAAAAGGCCCAGTAGACACTTTACGCAACGTAATAACTAAAGAAGACTCAAGATGCATATCACAAAAAACAGTGAACTCATTTTTTTAAATGACAGTGCAAAATACGAAACAAAAAAATTACTGCATATAAGGGTGCATAGACATTTGTGTCCTTGACAAAACAGTCTGAAATTATAAAAATTGTACCAGACATTTAAGTCCCAGACAAAATTGTTCGAAACTGTTTTGCGAATTTTTTTTGAATTGACCTTGTGATCTTTAATGCTTTGTTCTTTTGAGGTTGTTTGATTGTACTTTAATTAGATTCTATGCGTATCAATTAGCCATAGAACAGTTGAAATGAGACAAAACTTTCAAGAACAATTTGAAATTTTAAAGCGCATTTGGCCGTGCGATGAAGTCATAAGTTTCAAGGTCAAAAGGTGAAAAGGTCTGAAGTTCAAATCTCGGGTCCGCAAAAACCTTTCGTAATTTAGTCAATATTTGAAATTAAAAAACCCAAAATTGGATAAGCTAGGGAAAAGTTGAAATGGGTTGACTTGATTGAGCCAAAAGGGAAGAGGATGGGAAAAGCTTGATTACATTGATCATTTTGCCATTATCAAAACGGGTCTAGCTCAATTTTGAAATATTCTGAGAAAAAGTTCAACTTAGAAAAATTTATTAAAAATTATTGTTTCGCAATATCAACTTTGGAAAATAAATTGACTTTGAAATATAGTTTGATGTTGTTGCTGCACCCTTTTAGGAAACTAAAAGTTTACTTGGGTCGTAGGCCGCAACTAATTCGGAAAGGTTTTTGTCAAGTTTGACATAAAGAGGTTTTTTATAACGTGACACTCTTTTCCCGGCACACATTTTTTCGATCAAGATTTCAGCGTTTTTCTGTTCGTGTTGAAATTTTTCTATGAGTTTGGGAAATAATGGGTGCGAAATTGAGGTGTCTGTTAGAATCCGATGTTTGAAGTATGCGTATGCATCATAAACTAGCATTCCGTTGTTTTTATTTGTCACAAGAGTTTCCATTGTCAACACGAACTCGAGATCAATAACAATGAAATTATGATCTCTCGTGTCTACGTTTGGCAGCACTATCGATCAAGCGATAATTGTGTAGGTATGTGTAAATGAGTTGAGTCCTGTCTTAATTTTGTCTCTGATATGCTGCGCAAAGTAATTTCTGGTCTAATTGCTCAGTTGCGTGGCCTCATCGATTTAATCCTTCCTATTGAGAGCTTATCAAATTAATCCTGTCATTAACTAGTGTGGCAACAGCCCAGACAATTTTGGGACAATTTTGTCTGGGAACCAAATGTCTTAGACACTTTTTGCATTTTGGACTGTTTTTGGCGGGACATAAATGTCTGGGACACAAATGTCCTGACTCGCATATAAGAATAAGAAAACTGCTCAGTTACATCTTTAGTTTTGGAAAAACGATTAGTTTTTTCAGAAAATTTTCAAACAGCCGCAAAAAAAAGAAGAAACAAATTTATAGATAGCTTCATCTTCAGCAATGAAGATCTATTGAACAAAATAACCAGCTAGGAAAATTAATATAACATCTCAATCTCAACAGGTTAACTTTCATATTTCCTCTGCTTTTCTTCTTTTATAATGAAGCTCGCACCCTTGATGTTTTCTGCTTTTATTTCAATACCGGCGAAATCGGAGTTCGGAAATTGAGAAAAACTTCTAATTTTTTTCTGCTCAGGGAAGTCTGAAAATAGACCAAAGGGTTTCATGACTATTTCTCTGACCAATATGTAAAGGATGTGATTCGAGTTCTACAACAATCATTTCTGGTATACTAGCCTGAAACAAATATATTAGAATTGTTATTTGTTTAACTTTTTCTGCCTGTCTCTACTTTTCTCAACTCTTTGTGGTTAGCACGCACTGAACTTCTTTCAAACGGTACTTGAGCTCGACTGGAGAGCACATCTGCTTTTTTCGTCTTATGCTATTCTTAAGCCAACTTTTGATGACTGTGCAAAACTGATTTCAATATCAATTGAAAATCCGAAAAACGTATTAAAATTTTAAAAATTCATTTGTAATGAGAGAATAATATTCTTAAATTTGTAATACTCTTTTTGCATCAGTTGACAAAAAGGTTAAATTTGGTCTTTGTGAGCCAGAAACAATATCAATTATATTTTCACACTCGATCCAGTGCTTGACCGCTACATATTTAAACTCAGCTGTCTCAGCTTCATTATCAATTAATCAAACTCTTCAAATGCTTGAATTGATTTGGTAAATCAACTTTGAGCTTTTCAATTAAAATACTTTATCGTCGCATTTGAAGAAATTTCATAAACTGATTTCAATAGTAAATAAAATTGCAGAAAAACGCTTTAATGTTTTTAACTACATTTGTAATCACCGAATAATTTTCTGAAACTTGTAGTACTGTTTTGCATCATTTGAAAAAAAATCTTAATTTTGGTTTTTGTTAACATTCTCAGCTATACCATATGTTACACGTGCTCCTTGACCAATGCATGTTTAAACGCGGCTGTCTAAGCTTCCTTATAAATTATTAAAACTCTTCAAAGCTTGAACCGAAATCGGAAACCAATTTTAACTTTACGGAAGTTAATTTTTTTTTAATTAAAACACTTTATCGTCGCATTTGAAGAGATTTCATGACCAGGCTAAAGACTGAAAATGCAAAGTTCTTTTTTGCTGGTGCGGCAATTTCTACGTTTCTGTTTCTGATTTGCAGTCGCTGGATAATTGCGCATGAAAATCCAGTAATTATAAACAGGTTAGTCTTTACTGTTTTGCACCGTATTTCAAATTTTATCGGAGCTTTTTTGCCGTTTTTTTAAATTCATGAAATGTTCTCTTCTCTTGTTTCAGAAAATTGGTTTAAATTAAGGTATTGATAGTTCCATGAAGAAATCCATGCAGCTTAAAGTTTTGTCTAATTGTTTGAATGAGAGGCAGGGGCGAATCTATGATTTTCTCGAGGGGGGTGGCGGATTTTCAAACAATTTTCGAAAATTTTGTCGATCTTTTTTTTAGGTCGACCGAATTGATCTTTCGAGCTCTTCCTAAGCACAGTTTAGTCCCTGTTTTGGCCAAATTTTCTGCGCCGTATTTTTGAAAAACAGTCCAAAAAAGGCGTTTTTAGTCACTTTTTGGGAAATGTTGACCAAAAAATTGCGTTTTTTCGGCGCGCGCTCCCCCTCAAAATTAGTATATATTGGCGCGCCAAAGGCGCCTTTTAAATAACTTTAGGGTCGGTCGGCCAAAAGTGGATTTCTTAAACAGTACCAAAAGGGGACCCTTGGGGTCGGCAGGGGGTCGAATCCCTGAGGGAAAGACGCCGTCCACCCCCCCCCCGCCCGCCCTAAATCCGCCCCTGATGTGAGGCAACAATTCCAAAAAAACTCCAGTGTAAAAAAGGGTTTTGGCATTTTGAATAAATTAAAGGACCAGAACAAAAGCTGTTCTGTTCATAGCTTTTTGGCGGAAAAGCGCATTTGCAACCTGGTTTAAATTATACGAGTTCTTGTAAGTTCAGCTTATGCGCGTTTTCCCCCACTCAAATTTTGATTAAATTAGTACGACCAAAGCGAATATGGTAAAACCTTGATCATAATTCAAAATTTGGATACTATAAAAATTAACCAATTTTCGACTTACAAAGAAAAATTTGAAGCAAAGTTTAGTATCATTTCGGGGGCTGTTGAAAAATTTACATATTTAAGTTATTTTAGCTCGTATTCATCAACGCCTATTTCGAAGCCAGTAACCGAAAATGAAATCCAAGTTGAGTGCAAAGTACTCAGAGATGATGAGGAAGGATTACAAAGAGCCATTGAGTCTTGCAATCAGGTAGTTTCGAACCTCAAACGCCAACAATATGTGTGCATCAATGGGCCCAATAGTCACATTTGCAAAAGTTCGTGTTTTCGCTCATGATATCTAATATTTGAGAGCCTAGATTTCAGTTTAACTTCATTTTTTGGTAAAAATAGATCATTCAGGAGGATTTGTTTTTATCTCTGTTTTGAGTTCAAAGTGGAATCGACTTATAAAAATCGACATACTTGTTTTTCAAATAGTTTGTCAAAAATTTGGAACATGCATGATTTCCATTGATTTTTCGATTTGGTTAATGTTAGATATTTTTGTTGTGTGAAAAGGATTCCAAATCTGGGAAGCTAAAATTCTTCGATTACTTTTTTTATAGAAAATTGGTGAGAAAATGATGAATTTCATTCTTACAGATAAAAAACTAGTTATCTGATGCATGAATGAAAACATTTCAACCGAAGTGGTGAACAACTACGTGGAAAACGGGAAACAAAATGACGGATCATTGTGTCAATTAATGAACAATTTGGGGTCAGACAAGTGTGCGCTGTACAATTACCCAGACTATTATGACTTATTTCTAAAACCAATCAAAAACCGTCATCTGAAAATTTTGGAAATTGGACTGGGATCTCAAACAGGGCCCTACAAATCGCAAATGAACAAAACATATCTAAAGGGCAGTTTTCCAGTTTAAAAAACACTTCAGAATTCTTCACTTTGAAAACATTTTGAAAACACTTCAGCGAAGTTTTTGTTAGCTGATGAGAAAAGAGTTTACAAAAAGTAGCTTAGCAGCAAACATTTTCCAATAACTCTTTTACACAACAGTTACAAAACCAATTTTAAAAATTGCTAAAACAATTTATAGCATATAAAAGCAACGTTGTAAATTTGTTTTACAAGTTAATGTTTAAGATGAAAATGATTGTTAAAAAGTTGGATCTAAAAAGATTCGCGAAAATTGTTTTGTTTTGTTTTTCTGAAGTTAGAAAAGTAATCATAAGTCAATTGCTTCATTTTTTCTTTTAAAAAACTGTAGACAATATGCCTCTGGAAAAGAGCAGGTCGAACTGGAAAAAATAACCCATAACAGTTGCCCAATTTACACGTTGGCGGCTCCACCAGAGCTTGGCGAGATTACTTCAAATACTCGTCAATTTTTGGAGCAGATATCAACCCGCAGAGTTTATTCCAAGAAGAACGTATAAAAACTTTTGTGGTGAATATTTCTGACAAGGAGAGCACGCGGCGAATGTTTGATCACGTTGGAAACGTGAATATTTTTGTTGACGACTCCTTACACCAGCCTCGAGCACAGGAAAGTTTGCTAAATGTAGCTTACGATTACGTTCGGCCAGGCGGCTTCTATTTCGTAGAGGACGTCAAACCAGAAGACGCGTGCAATCATTATATGCGGTAGGAAACAAACTGTGACTAGGATGCAATTAAAAAATTTGGTCGAATTTTTAATTTTGTCAAAAATTTGGCTCTTTTCCGGTTCCCTCCTTTCAAAATACCGAGTTTTTATTTGTTTTATGTGTTATTATGGCTAAATGCGTGATGTTACGCTGTAAAATATGAAGAACAAATCTGTTCCCAGTTGTCGATTTTTTCACCACGCCAAATTTCATTGCATTATTTTAATTTGAATTTGAAGGGGGGGGGGGACCGGAAAAGAGCCGAAACTTTTTGTAAGTTTTAAGCTTTTTAAATGTTTCAGGTCTTATGCGAAACGAGGAATCCGCGAGTTTGCCTTCATGCGCGATGCACACTCGACAACACTTTTCACGTGGGGCTTGATGGTGTTCCGAAAACCACTAGACCAGAGTAAGATGTGTTGAAAGTCAGCAGAATCATATTATGTACATAACTATACGTATAATCTTAGCTTCCAGAACTTGAATTCGATAAATCACAATAAAGTTTTGGTACGTTTGAATGCAACAATTGAAATTGTAATTACAGTAACTTTGTGTATTTTTTATTGTTTGAACCTTGAAATATTTTTTAATAAAAAACATTATTGCTTATGCACGAAACCTTTGTCGTTTCTGTAGTTTTTCACGAATGAAAAGACAGATCGAGCTTAGTAGATTTTGAGAACTGTCTTATTTTTTTCAATATTGAATTTGAAAAAAAAAATAAAAAATGAAATATAATAACTTTTCTTCAAAAAATGATTAAAAATTTAGTAATTTAAACTGCTGAAAAACATCCATCTAAGTAATGCAATTAGTAACAATTCATTGAGGATAATTGCTGACTGCTAACTAGAAGATTCAGAGGGAAACTTTTTGAGGCAAGAAGATTTGGAGATAAACGTCTCCGCGGTCAGAAAAGTCAAAACAAGTAAATTTTCTTCAGATTTCGTTTTTTTAAGATCAACAGTTCAAGCCTTATTTGGAAAAAAAATTGTAAATTATTATTTATAAATTTGAAACTACAGCTGCAATTATTTCGAAAATTAGTGATTCTTCAGATTTTTGAAGCCAAACACTGCCACAAAAATTTAACTGAGTATGAATTTTTCAGTTTATTGACATTTTCTAACAAGCAAGAAAACCGAAGCGCATGCCGAGCACCAAGAAAAGAAACAGTCGAGAGATAGGTCAAGCACAGGCGAAGTAAAATAGATTTTTTTGATTTTTCAACGCTGGTTTTGATTATGTAGGGAAGTCGCTGAAAACTAGTTGAAAACGGAGAAAACATACTTTTTGAACAAGTAGTCGATAAAACGATAGAGTAGTTAGCTTTAAATCATCAACTTATTCAATGTTCAAAGCCGTTGTTCTAGGCACTGTAAAAAATTTTCTAGAATCTCGTCCGAAAAAATTTTCATATATGACTCGATCTATCTGATTTTGGGTAAATCAATTTAAAAAACTTTTTTAAAAATTGGAAATTAAAACGAATAAGAAAACGCGGCCAATTTGTGTTCGGAACAGCAAAAATAGTACAGACAGTTGAGACTAAAATTGACTGAATGTAGAGAAAACTGTTATTTGAAAAACATCACTAAATAAGTTTAACTCCAGAATAAAAAGCAAGGTGAATGTTCTGAACATTTTTTTTTCCGATACTGGACGTCATCGAAAGCAAATAATTTTAATGAAGTTTACAGTGTTCTGCTAAATTATTATCATCGAAGATTTCATAAAAGTTCAAAGAATAGGCTAGCATTCAAAAAATTTAGGCACATAAGTTTGCACTTTTTCTATTTTTTTTTCGTCTCTTCTCTACTTCCTCTTCAATCGTGTCTTCTTCTGTTTCCTCTGTTTCTCCCGATGATGTCTCTGTACTGCCTACTTCAGTTTGACGTGGTATGCTCTTGTGGGATTTGGTGTTCAATATGTCCTGAAATGTAGTTTTTCTGGCTGCTTGAAATACAGTGATTCATTCAATTGATTCTCTCCCTCTCTTTTTGTGCGCGCTCAATTTCCGAAAATTGGTAAAAACTATGAAGTCGAGTGCTGAATTATTGAGAGAATTTCCTGGCAAAAACTCTCGGAAACTCAATAATTCAACAATATTTTCGGCCAAGCATAGCATCATATAACTTCATTAACTGCCCCGAAAACGGTACAAATCAGCGCAAGCTAGCCACAAGAACCGATAATAATGTCTTTGAGACAAATTGCTCTTTTTGGCGGTCAGCCCTAATCAAGATTGAACCGAAAAAGAACCAAAAACATTTAAAATAGGATATAACCCCCTTTTTTTAGTATTTTAACACATTGTCAGGTGGGGGACTCAAACCTACGCCAACTGGCAAGTCTGTATTGTCAGCGTTACTGTAGCTAAGGCCACTCGGCCATCTGTCCTTGTTTTATAAGCATTTATACTCTTGCTTTATATGCAATTATACTCTTGTTACATTTGCACTGCAATATCCCCCCCCCCTGAAGAAGGAAGGACAGGAGCGAGCTTAACGGTCGGTCGAGTGAGTTCACGCGTTGCGGTCTTAACAAGGGCGGATCGGGAGCAACCGTCCTCTCCATAATGTAGCTTAACGATTCGAGCGAGAGGGTAGTACCCACGGGGACGATCGGGCTCAATCACCCATACGAGATCGCCTGTCTTTAGTGTGAAGTCAGAATGAGTGTGCCACATGACACGCTTATTCAGTGAGTGAACATCTTCTCGAAGCCAACAAGACCAAATAGCGTTAGAATACGACTGCGCTCGCAAATACCTTTTATTGTGGTCGATGCGCTTCCCAGGTAAAAGCGAAGGAAAGCTTGTGGCATGTTGTCCAAGCAAAAAATGGTTCGTGTTAACACTTCTAACTCACATGAATCAGTACTAACGGGATTGATTGGTCTCGAATTCAAAGCTTACTCAACTAAGCAGAGTGTTGTTCCTAACACCTCTTCAGTAACTCGCCTACTGCCTAGTATATCATAATGCACGCAATTCACGCTTCAGATGAGGCGCTCCCAGGAGCCGCTATGATGGGGTGCAACGGGTTAAGTTTCGAAGCAACACCTTTGTGTGCAAAAATGGTCGGAGCCATGCCGTTCCAATTCGTGATGCAGGCAAGTAATTCCTTTTCCGCACCAACGAAGTTCGTGCCGATATCCGACCAGATCGTGCTGGATGTACCAGGACGCGCAATGAACCGTTCAATACCCATGACACAAGAACTAGTGTCAAGAGATAGTACGATCTCAAGGTGTACAGTCCTGGTGGTGAGGCAGGTGAAAAGAAATTTTCCATCTTTTTTCAGTGCTTTTGCGAACCGCAACGTAAAGCGCTCCAAAGTTATCCACACTTGTATGATTAAAGGTTGGTTGCTTGTATCCAAGACGTTCGACAGATAAATTGGACAAAATTGGCTGGATGGTACTTGCTTTGCGTTTACGGCATGTAACACATTGATTTTCGATAGACTGAAGCAACACAAGTACATCATATTTTATATTTAAAACGGATCGAGTGTAACCTAAACTTTGATGAAAATGCTTATGGTGGAGGCTGCGGGCCAACAAACGACCTAGTGTATGTCAGGCGTCGAGTAATATTGGGTGCTTAGTATCAAACTCGGTATTCACTAAGCACACAATATGTCCGGTGAAACAAATTTTATTAGCGGGACCAATAAATAATGAGTATGTGGCAATTTTACTACTACTCTTGATAGGTTTGCCAGCGGTGAGTGTGTTCAAATCCACGGGAAAGATTCCACTGAGCAAGATGAATTAGTTTGTTTTCCGCGATATCAAGTTCAATGGAAACGATGATCCGCAAGTTCTTACGGCGGAAATGCTTATGTAAAGGCAGCATTCTCAACAAAAAGATACATCTCTTTTATATCTCGTAATGGAACTAAACCTTTCTCAATTGAACCCATTTTCGTGATGTTTGACGAATGTGACATCGGTGACGAAGGAAAAAGATTTCTCCAAGCAATTATCGACATCACTTCGAACGAATTTTATTGATCACACGTTCGTCGGGTATGAACGGCCAATCAGTAGTCCTGGGAATGCTCGGACCATTAACCCAACTGCTATCTTTGAGGGCTTCAGAAGAAACCCCCGCGTACCGGTATCAGCTGGATTATCGCCGCTCAGGACATGGTGCCACTCATCAATGCTTGACGATTCGAGGTTTTTCGATATTTCACTGATGGGTGAAGACGAGGTTTAGCTATACTCGAGGTTCATTGCTAGAGTAACTTCATCAGAATTACT